AAAAGATAGAAACGACTTACTTTTCTGAAATTCTGACTTACAAAAATATTACAAAATACCTAAGAAGAAGTGTGATTGCATATTACAAAAAAATACTCTAACTGGAGAAAATATTACAAAATATCTATCAAAAAATAATAATATTGTCAGTACAACAACAAAAATCCCAGAACCAAATATAGAATAAAAAAAAAAATCCCTGTAACCACGAACAAAAATATTAAAAAAAAAATAATCTAAACAAAAATAATATAAATTCCCAGTAACTTCGAAAAAAAAATACTTAAATTCCCAACGACCGCAAGAAAACAAGAAGCGACCCACAACAACTAGCTGAGAGTGTCGCTGAGACACCATAACCCGGAACCCACCAAAGTTGTATTAATCCATTTCACTCAATTTCAGGATCACGGGATTAACGATACGTATTTGTGGGATAACACAGAGGGATATAGGGAGCCTGCAGGGTTGGGGAGAAGGAGAGGATGGAAGGGGAGTATTCTTATGGAGGTGAGGGGGAGGGAGGGGGAGGTGAGGGGGAGGGAGGAGGAGGGGAGGATAGAAGGATGAATGTGCTGGGGAGGGCAGTGTGTCTTTGGGAGAGCTTGAGGGAATGTCACGGAAAGGAAGTAGGCCTCCTCTGGATGAGCCTATGTTTCTGAATCCGACGTTTACACACACACACACACACACACACACACACACACACACAACATTAGCGGAGAGTGAATAGTCAGGTGTTACAGGGAGATAGGGATATGTCTGAGATACAACATATATACACGGGGCCGGCAAAAGCACTCAGTATTCTGACACGAGCCTATCAGTCTTGAGTCAATTACAGGAACCCACCTACCTGACAAGTTGCTCTGTCTCTCTCTCTCTCTGTCTCTCTCTCTTTCTGCCTGTATGTGTGTGTGTGTGTGTGTGTCTCTCTCTGCCTGTGTGTGTGTGTGTGTGTGTGTGTGTGTGTGTGTCTCTCTCTCTCTCTCTCTCTCTCTCTCTCTGCCTGTGTGTGTGTGTGTGTGTGTGTGTGTGTGTGTCTCTCTCTCTCTCTCTCTGCCTGTGTGTGTGTGTGTGTGTGTGTGTGTGTGTCTCTCTCTCTCTCTCTCTCTCTCTCTCTCTCTCTCTCTCTCTCTCTCTCTCTCTCTCTCTCTCTCTCTCTCTCTGTTTCATTCTCTTTATATTTATGTTTGTCTACTCCTTTACGCTCCATTCATTAATTTCTTTTAATATTTGATTTGTCGACAAGTATAGAGAGAACCTTCAGTGTTCACGTTCACTGGCTTGTGTTCCCCATTCATGTGTGTTATCACTTATAAAACACTACAATACCCTGTGTTGAAGTACAAGCAACATATAATTCCAATACTGAATCTGTGAATGCCTTGAATTTTTAGCTCGCACTTTTTAAGTCTGTTTTTTTTCATGTATGATTAAAAAAAAATCATAAAAGACTCGTATAAGATCGCGTCAACTACGATATGAATGAAGTTGATTTGATACTTGTTCAGTAGTTTATCTAACACAGTCTATCCGCATGACAGTAGATGGATACTTGACTCCGGTAACACTGGCTGTTATACCCTAACCATTATTACGTAACTTTTAAGTAAGTCAGAAATTTATTGAGGTAATATTTCAGACTGGAGCTTCATTATACAGATTAATCAAATCCAGGTAATTCAGTTTTCAATAACCCGTCCCAGTCAATTAATTATTAGAACTCACACCCAAATCTCTAAAGCTTTTTTCTGTTGCATTTAAAACTATTGCTAATTAATGAGACTGTGTGTAGAGCGCCTGCGTCACTCTACACTATAGTCTAGACTCTACCTTCAGGTGTATCCGTGGTACAGTTACGGGTGTTTGTTGCATGATAAACAATGCATCATGAGTTTCGATACAACGTGATTTAATATGCGTATTGGTCAGTGCATGAGGGCAGCTTAACACGACCTGACTCAAAAGTAAATTCACAGCGTAGCTTTTACAGGGATATACATATTTATGAGTTTTATATATATATTATACTCACGCAGTTATACGTGTGTGTGTGTGTGTGTGTGTGTGTGTGTGTGTGTGTGTGCGCGTGTAATAATAATAATAATAATAATAATCGGTTTATTAATAGTTGCAGCCGGTGGTTGAAAATATACAGACTTACATTTGATTTAGACATAATGATATAATATGCGTTGAATACATTTACAGGGCTGTACAGTACATAAATCAGGAGTTGTGTGTGTGTGTGTGTGTGTGTGTGTGTGTGTGTGTGTATAAAATCATGATACTTTTACCTGTCGGAACTGTCAATTTATTAAGGTTCTTTTATTATTGTTTCGCCAGGGCAACTGATCTACACTTTTGTCATGAAATAAAGATGGTTATATATGCATCAATGTCTACCAATTAAAAACAGAATCATATGGCGTATTTAAAGAATATTTCTTAAATAAAGTTTCCATTTGAAGTCTCTCAAGATCATGAATGGTATAAATTTATACGCTGCCCCTTCCACCCCCAAAAAAATAATAATAATAAATAAATAAATACATAATAAAAGACACAATCCTCACCCCCCCTCACCCCCGAAAACACTCCTCTTCCACCTTCAATTCCATCCCCTCCAGAAAAAAAATCACCTCCCCCCAACCATCAACCACCTTACACCCCCAGAAAAACTCTCTCCCCAGGATAACAAAAAAATCTCCGCCTCAAACATAAAACTTTAACACTTCCTAATGACACTTCACAGTACATGTATCATTCCTTAAATTTCAGCAACAGAATCATCAGACAACTTGCAGACAAAACCTTAAAACGTCCAATAAAGAACAACCCCCTAGAAGAGGTCTTTTTCGACACGAGTGTCCACATGTGCAATACTGAAGGAGACGCTTAAGTGTTTGCTCCAGTCCTTGGCCCGGCAAATCTGTTTATCCCTCTGATAAGCCGTCGCTGATCCCCCGCTGCCGGGTCTCACGGGACGGATGCTGCATCTCCTTCGCCTGAGTGATCGAGGGAATCTAGCGGATGGCACTGTAAATTGAGGAGAAGTTCCTACAGGATCTTGTTGTGGGTGTAGGAGGAGCGCTGACGACCCTCTCACCCCCCTCACACACATTGCCGTCTTGAGCTATGGTTCCGCCTGCTGCTGCTCTCAGAAGGAGGAAGAGAGAGGGGGGGGGCAGGATTTCACAGAGGCGGTCACGGGAAGGAAGGAGTGAGAGTTACAGCAGGATACTGATGCTGGTGGTGAAATAATGTGGTGAGAGAGAAGGTCGTGGCGGAGCTGAGTGGGATAATGGGATGGAGAGAAGAGGAGTACGCTGGGGAATTGAGGAGCGTTAGTGAGAGGGAAGGTATAGGAGGAATGGAGGTAATGGATGTTGAGTGAGAGGGTAAAGAGAGTGGATGAGAGACGAAGTGTTGTTAGAGTGTAAATTAGGTAGTTTGAGATAGAGGGTTGGTCGTGCCTACTAGCAAATCGCTTTGTTCAGCGTCTATTACGTTAGACAAGGGTCACCGACTGGATACTTTAAATAGTTACATCTTTGTGTCATGAAAGTGGAGGATAAGTTGTTAAAATTTACTGTGAGAGAGACATCATACGCTGTGCCTGCCTAGTTGATGTGTATGATGTTCCCCACACATTAACCCTTCACAACACCAACAAACATATTATTAATCATTCCTAAAATTATTTGTGACAAGGAAAAACATTGACTGAAAGTGTGTTTTTCACGTGCGAGATTGTTATTTCAAGCTAGGTTGGATACTGCCAGAGACTTGCTTTCGGTTACGCTTGCTTAATAAATAAATATTGCCTATTAGAGTCAGCAAGTTGATACAGCAAAAAATAAGCCACTAAATCTAGCAAAACACACACACACACACACACACACACACACTAGGAAAGCGTTACGTCACACTAAATAACACGAGGGAGGGAGGGGAGGGAGGAAGGAGTAGGTGGTGGTAGTGGTGCCGCTGAGGTCCGTCCCTCCCGACTGTCACCTGACACTCCGCCCCGTGATGGCTACACAGATTACCTGACCAGACACTCACATAGACATGAAGCGGATATCTGCAGGGAACGCATATGACTGACAGTTCAAGGAGAATCAGATATTTGCTCGACTAGATTTAGTTCTGCGGCAACTCTAATTCTGGATGATTTCAATATGGATCTGATGTACCCAGCACGTCTGTTACCAACACGAGAGTCTGTACTTATGTGAAGGAGGAATATTTAAATTTCATGCTTGTATAAATCAGATGTTGGTAGACCAATATGGAAGTCAGTGGAAATGTTATAAGTATATCTACAAGTATCAACAACATCGGTTAATGTTAAATACCCCTAATGAATTACCCAGCTACTATTATAACATAGTCTAGTGGATATAGATGACACTGCTTAAGATGATAGTAATAATAATAATAATAATAATAATAATAATAATAACTTAGCTAGGCAACTGCCCAAAATGTAGGCCTACTGTTAGCCTCACTACTGCACTTTAATAATATAATGCAGTACATTTTACGGAATTAATAATTGCCATGGTATCACTGAACACTCTTCTTTGTGCATAGTTTACGTTATTCCTATTGTTCGTTCAAATGAGGGAGTGGTGGGGGTCGAGTGCAGTGCCAACCATAATGCCTTCTTGTGTATCGAAGGTTTGGCATACACTGCACAGTGTCCATACAATCAATAGTAATATCTATGCAAGCATGTCGTAAAATGGTGTAAAACACACACACACACACAGTCACTTCTTTCCATCTTCTTCCACATACAAACAAACACTTGGTCAGAAGCACGTGCCTTCACCAACAGACGTACCACAAGCATCGCTCATAAGACACAAGCACCCTCGCCGCCATTCTCCCTTCCTATCTTGGTCTGTTGAAGAACTTCATAAAAAGCAGAAATACGTTGTTGTCGTGAGTGCTGAGAGAACACTGAGCCGGTCTGGCGCTTCAACACGATGAGGAGCTGTGGACCAGGCTGTGTACCAGAGTGTGGACCAGGCAGTGAGCCAGGCTATGGGCCAGAGTGTGGACCAGGTAGTGGGCCAGGCTGTGGGCCAGGCTGTGGACCAGGACCAAACTCAGAGCCAGGCTACGGATCAAGCTGTGACCCTGACAGTAAACCAGACAGCGAATCCGACAGCAAACCATGCAGTGAACCCAGCAGTGAATCCGACAGTGAACCCGACAGTGAACCTGATAGTGAGCCAAGCTGTAAAATAAAGCTTTCCAATACGGTCTCGAACTCGGCTGGCAGACCCGTGGCTACCATCCCCGGCTGATAGTCCACCCGACTCATAGGTCCACCCAGTTCAAGGTCCACCTGGATCAGGGTCCACCTGGCTCACAGTCCACCCGGCTCCTAGTTCACCCGGCTCACAGTCCACCCGGCTCCTAGTTCACCCGGCTCACAGTCCACTCACGGTTCATCCGGCTAACAGTCCACCCGCCTCATGGCCCATCCGAATCACGGTCCATCCGGCTAACAGTCTACCCGGCTCACATCAACACACCAAAGACCAGACTCTTGGTGTCTAGGATTTGTGCCGCTATGATGATTCCGCAGCCGCTGTGAGACGCTGTTGAGAGTTTGGTTTATATTTCCGGCTGTCCTCGAGGCTGTCTTGGTCGACGTTCTTATTCTTCTTGTTATCGTCACAGCTTTTGGAGATACCGATTTTGCCGTGTTATTTTTTTTTTTTTGCACTGGCTGTTTCTTGCTGTCTACACTGAGTTTAATTTTCTGTGTCTTTATTACCGTTTTTTAATAGTAATATCGATCTTGTTTATTTAATTTCGGTTGTCTTCTGACGTCAATGTTAAGTTAGATTAGGTTAGATTAGATTATGTAAGATAAGGTTAGGTTGGATTTAATTTGGTTAGGTTTTGGTTAAGTTAGGTAAGGTTTAGTTGGTTAGGCGAGATTAGGTTAGGGCCCGTTAGGCTATGTTTGGTTTGGTTTAAGTTTGGTTAGGTTAGATTAGAGTAGATTAAGTAAGATTAGGTTAGTTTCGGTTAGTACAGGTAAGACTGAGTTAGATTAGGATAGCTTCAGCTAGGACAGGTTAGGCTGGACGGGCTATCATCGTCAGGAGAATACATACTGTAGTAGTACAGATCCGTCGCACAGTTTGAACATGGTTCTCTCGCCTCCATGTTGACCTCTTACTCACTTACGCTTCCCTGATGTTAGTAAACACACGCGCCTCGTAAAACAAAATCACAACGCCCATTCATGTCGCGAAGAAGAGATAAAGCCCATAATGTGTGTGTAGCAGGAGCAGGAGGAGGTGGGCGTGGGTTACGACCTCAGCAGGAGTTGAGCGCCATCTTAGAGCGCTTAACAAGGCACTATCAACGGGCTAACAGCTTCATATGGTACTCAAAGAGGCCAGAGCACCCTCATTTCGCACTCTTTATAGATTCCATTAACACGTCGTAACTCAAAAATGGTCAATGAGCTTTCCCATCTTATCTGAGGAGCCAAAGGGGGTAAAAAAAAAATTGTGTTATGGGTATAGTGACGACCTGATAATGGTGGGTTCTTGCTGATGATTGACCAATAGGAGGCGCTGTGTTGAATGGGGGTAAGAGCAGTATGCAAATAACGAACAGCAACTTGGAAATCGTAGGACAAAAAAAAAACGATTGTCATACGTTTGCCGTTTTAAAACAGACGTAATCTAAAGTTGTTGGGGTTTTATTTATTTTGTGTTCATTTTTTGATTAAGCTAAACAAATTTGATGGCATTTATTCAAAGGATAAAAAATGTGAACTTATGCATATTCACAACAGAAATAATCTATCCATATAACCATATCTTGAGAAACTTTACATCAAAACTCATTTCAAATACACACACACACAACCCCCCACACAGACACACAAACCCTCACCCCGTCGAAAAAATCATCATTAAAAAAAAAATATATATAAAAAAGTTGCATATATAAACTGGTTTGAAAATCCCTCCAGAAAACTTTTTATTCTTGAAGTGGATATATAAGGGGCGGGCGAGAGGGACTCCACGAGGGAGGTAGAGAACTCAGTTTGGGAGTTGGGAGGCTTGCTGGAGGGTAGGAGGCAAAGTAAGAAGAATTGTGCCTTTTGCTTTTTTGTTTGAATTGACGGGAGTTATTTTTTAATGTTGATGGGACGAGAGAAGAAATGGGGTAGGGAGTGAAGGAGGGGAGAGATGGGAGAGAGATGAGTGAAGAGAAGAGCGAGAAGAATTTATCTCTCTCTCTCTCTCTCTCTCTCTCTCTCTCTCTCTCTCTCTCTCTCTCTCTCTCAAAATACAGGAAATTTGCTGAAAAGAAAGATTAAGGAGGAAAGGGATATCAAGAACTCTCTTTCACTTTCAAAGGACAGGGAATTTAACAAGTGCAGAAGGAAATAAAAGGAGATATTTCCTCTCTTTTTTCTCTTAGAGTGCATAGGTTTTAACTAAAGGCTGAAGGAAGAAAAACAGAGATTAAATATTTTCCTAGACTAGAGAGTTGTTACTTTATCCAGTTTACACACTGGAAGAGAACAACGGGATTATAGTTTTTACTAATGATATGATAAAGGCAACAGGACATATATCGTTTAGCTAAAGAGTAGACAAAATCACGGAAATATATATCGTCTTTTTCCAGATTTTCTTAACGATTGGAGGAAAATAAAGGGAAATATTACCTTTGTTGTCTCTTCTCTAGAATATAAAGTTTCCCATTAAGATTAGACAAACAGAAAAAATGCTTAACAAATATTTTAGTACAATTTTTAGAATTTTCTTCATAAATATTATCAAAGAGTAGAGTTGACGGGAAAATAAACGTAAGATCATTTCTAGAGTAAAGTGAATTTTTGAGTATCTGATGAATTAGAGTTAATAACATAATATTACTTACGATAAATAGAATTAAAGATGATGAGAAAATAAAACACGATACGTAACATAAAAAATAATAAAAGCGGGAAAAAGAAATAAGTAAGTTATTAACAGACAATAGAAAACAACAATGAAAAATAATCATATATAAAGACGGAAAATAAGATAATTTTTTTATATCGAGGAGATAAAAGACAGACAGACAGACAGAGAGAGAGAGAGAGAGAGAGAGAGAGAGAGAGAGAGAGAGAGAGAGAGAGAGAGAGAGAGAGAGAGAGAGAGAGAGAGAGAGAGAGATGAGATAGAGAGAGAGAGAGAGATGAGATAGATAGATAGATAGATAGATAGATAGATAGATAGATAGATAGATAGATAGATAGATAGACACAGATAGATAGACACAGACAGATAGACACAGACAGGCAGACAGGCAGATAGATAGATAGATAGATAGATATAGATAAAATAATGACGAGAAAAAGGCATCAGGAAATGAATAAGAAGTAGGAGGGAGACTATCCGGATCTGTCACTCCAGCACCCAGCAGCCGCCCAAGTTATCACCAGATATGACACATCACACTAACACGTTATTGCCTCGTCTCTCTCTCTCTCTCTCTAGACTCTTTCTCTTGTAATATGTTCCAGAGGGGTAGCTACTGGAAGGGGTAAATCCATCTCCAGAAAGACATAACAGGTACTGGAAGGGGTAAATCCATCTCCAGAATGACATAACAGGTACTGGAAGAGGTTAATACTAATGCCAGAATGACAACAGGTACTGGAAGGAGTAAATCCATCTCCAGAATGACATAACAGGTACTGGAAGAGGTTAATACTTCTCCAGAATGACACAACAGGTACTGGAAGAGATTAATACTTCTCCAGAATGACATAACAGGTACTGGAAGGGGTAAATCCTTCACCAGAATGACATAACAGGTACTGGAAGGGGTAAATCCATCTCCAGAATGACATAACAGGTACTGGAAGGGGTAAATCCATCTCCAGAAAGACATAACAGGTACTGGAAGGGGTAAATCCATCTCCAGAATGAAATAACAGGTACTGGAAGGGGTAAATCCATCTCCAGAATGACATAACAGGTACTGGAAGAGGTTAATACTAATGCCAGAATGACAACAGGTACTGGAAGGAGTAAATCCATCTCCAGAATGACATAACAGGTACTGGAAGAGATTAATACTTCTCCAGAATGACATAACAGGTACTGGAAGGGGTAAATCCTTCTCCAGAATGACATAACAGGTACTGGAAGGGGCAAATCCATCACTAGAACGAAGAATGGTGAGGAGTAGAACTGAAGGGGCAATTTCACTCCCCTGAAATATATTGAAAGGGGTTAAATACTTCTCCAGAACGTCATAATTGGTGTCGAGTGGCATAGGAAGGGGGTAAATTCAAAGTTATATTCTCCCTTAATCTTCTCCCCCCAAACATATATTATCTAAGGGTAAATTGATCTTAAGAACATAGTAAATGACATTAAGTTGTACTGAAAGGGGCAAATTTATTCTCCTGGTATATATTCTAAGAGACAAATCAATCCTGACACTGTAGTATCCGGGACTGTAGGTGTAGTATAGCTTATCACCTAAATAAATAAAAAAGTAAACTGACGAAAGGATATACAGGTAAATAAATGTCAGGTAGGTAAACAAACGGAGAGATAAATGAGAAAGTGATGCATAAATAAACACAATTACAGAATAAATTAAAAAATATATATATATACAGGACATTAATTCGAGGGTGGAAATAATTACTAATTTATTTCTTGATAAAAGGGATTATATTTCTATTAAAGCTCTTCATATGATCCCCTCCCCCCTAATCTACGCGTGCAGTATTTAACCCCCCAATCTACCTAAATACAACCCCTCAATCTACCCTCTCTACCCCTTAAACCTACTCTCTTATACCCCCAGAGGCTGAGGGGAAATTACCACTGATATTGAGAGCAAGACCTGACAGAGGGGAAATGTTTTTCGTTCCTCGTGTTTTTCTTTACTTGGTTTCTTCCTGAGGGCAATGACGTAAGTGAGGGGAGAGGAGGAAGGAGAGTGAGGGGGGGAAAGGGAGGGGAGAGTAAGTGAGGGGAGAGGAGGAGGTGGGGGTGAGAGGAGAAAGGGAGGGGGGAAAGTGATGGGAGAAAGGAGGAGGATGAACACAGAGAGAGAAGGGGGGATAAGGGAGTACGGATGAGAAGGAGGAAGAGTGAAAGGGAAGGGAAAGGTAGAAGAGATAGAGTCAAGAGAAGGGATCGTAGAGGAGGATGAGGGTAAGTGAGTGAAGTGAAAAGAAAGAAAGACGAACAGAAGAGGAAGGAAAGTACCCAAAGGGAAGACAAAGAAGAGTTAAGAAAACCAGAGGAAAGGAGAGGGG